GTTATTTATCATTAAGTTTGGGCTAATTATCACGCATTATTTCTCCAATTTTCTCTTTGTCCCGAACCTCTAGTAAACATAAGGATAGCTCTAATCAATCGAATGACCAATCAGAAAACTTCATTTAATACGGTGGGGAATAACTAGCCATCCCCGATAATCATACACTAACACAATATGTATTTTACTCACGAAACACAAACGATTACACTCCACTACAGGTTCTAGTATTAGTTACTCTTTAATATAGCTACTTTCTCAAAGTCCATTCTCAAAAATTGCCCTCCAATGAGATCTATTTTATCCTCTATTCCATGATCCATGGTATCGGGAGGGTGATGTAGATGCTAAAGGCAATCGTAATGCTAATGGCAATTATTGGACAATCAACTTCAATTATTGTATTCTACCTGTGCATTCATTCATTCATCCAGCGACGTAGTTACATAAGCTATGTGTTTATGCAAGAGTGTTTACTCAGTGTATTCATGCCACTACCCTACAGAATTTGTTAGTTTTCCCAACAGTAAAAGAAAAGTAAAGACATCCTCTTGCTGCGAAAGAGAACATAATCTTGTTCATGATTCTGACATCAAAAGAGGTACGCTTCGTTTACCTTCAAAAAATATAATCCCTTAAGTTCAATTTCGGTTGCTTTGTTGCACTAGCATAAGTTCGTTTTATTTCAGAAGTACGGAGGTTTAAGTGGTTTCCTTCAATGCATGAGTGACCATAACTAGTGACACAGTTCACTATAGACGCGTAATACACTTACAAAACCTTATTTTAAAAGTACAAAACTATAGCACAACTAAAATCATACCAAAATTTGGCTATGCTTTCCATAATATGCAAAAAAAAAAAAACACTTATAAATGTCACGAGTCCACAGCCCAAATTGTTTTTGGGCCACTTCTTTTCTGTCCGAATGGGCCATGTATGTCCTTGAGTAGAAAGTGTGTTACATCAAAACTCCTTTTGTATATGGAGGACAGCATAATAGACCCATTAAACCTTGATATTTTGCGATACATCCGTATGCACTTTGAGCATAACTGGCTACAGTATGAACACAAAATCAAAATTGCTCTTCAAGAATATTCCTACGTCTCACCAACAGATAGCTGCCTGTTCTGAAACGGCCTATCATATTCCACTTTGACGTATGTTGTTATATCACCGTTGTAGTATTACAGACAATAAGTTTCTTTGAAACTTCTCCGCGTGTACCTAGAATTTCCAAAAGTGCAAGAGGTATATTCATGATTCTTCAAATGCTTCATGAGCAGTGTTTTAAATTACAAACGAATGTACAGAATGGTATGACTGATAAACTTTAAGTAGCAACTAGCGCACATAATACATTTGGTGTGTTCAGGAGAATACCCGGATGTGAAATCAAACTTTTTTTTGTCAGTGTTTACGGAAAATTAAAGTGGTTAAGTTTGTTGCATCTCATTTTCGATATATCATTGATTCTCAAAACATTAACAACGAAGTCCTAGCTTTAGATGTTTCGCATGAAAATCTGCTAAGCTATTTCCCATATTCTTCTTCAGAGTGAACTTAATATTTGGAGACAGATTATTGCATAGACTTCAGAGGCCAACATTTTACTTCAAATCTGGACCCAGACCAGACCATAACCATCAATAGCGACCTATGTCCACCCATAGGATTACCTGTTCCCACCCATGCTATTCAAGTTACACCAATTGTGTTATGTGTATTACCCGCTTACACCAATTCTTGGTTCGATCCCACAGACACTGCCCATAGCATTACTTTTGCCCACCCATGTACAAATAATGTCACCCAAAACCCATGGGCATGGTTGGTTTTGGGCATATGTATGGTCACCCAATGTTGGGCTCTGATAGACTTGTGCGAGCATAAATTGACTTGTCATCGCAAAAGCTAGTGGACACGGAAGAATTCTTCAAACGCTGGACTGGCCACATTGTCACTAAATCATTATTCAGAGAAGTAAGGTACATTGTTAAATATCATCATTTAGTTCACTAAATCTCTACTTGCACTAAACTCTAGGAACGGCCAAACCTAACAAGATGGCGAAGCCAAGGCAAGCAGGCAGGGTCAATTCATCTCACGCCCAGGGAAAACCAACTGGAAATCACCGAGACGACGATGTCCACTATGATTTGACAGACCGGTCCATGGGACATGGATGGAGAGGAGAGAGAGCTTTCCATGGCCATTGTTTGGAGTGCAGATGAGCCCAGACGTTTTCATGGACCTATCTGTCGTCTGGTGAAACCATCTTGAAACTATAAGGTTGATTGGGTGATGAACTTCCTGCCAGTTGAGCCTTGAATCCTGATGTGGGAAGCTAGCTGTTCTGTTGGATGTGAGTGGAATACCGGTACCACTGAGTGATTGATAATTATATAGAAGATTAGATTTTTGGAACCAGAGTCAGGCAGGCAGGCAGCGTACCTTGAAGACGGTGAGCAAATCTTTTGTACATCCGTGAGAGACAAGAACAGAATGAAGGCAAGGCTGTGTCAACTCCCGTGGCAGTTGAGGCTGGAGTCAAACTGTGCGGTACACTGGAAATGGATGTTGGACTCTTCACGTTCGCCATCTCATGCCCTCCTGCATTAGTGCTGAAACTGTACGAGATCCCAGATGAGCCCAGATGTTGCAACGAACACTTGGGCAAGGGCGTTTCAATGTAACCAACCAGGTGGAAATTAATGTTGTGATATAAATCCTTTTCCGAAGATCATATGTGTCAGTTATGGTCACCCCGTACGATTCTGTGGCCAAATACCGATCTGTGCATGTACAATCCCACCTTTGAGAAACTATGATGAATGTCTATAGCAAGGAAAGTTCGAGATCATGGTCGATTCGTGCAGTTTTAACATAAGATTTTGGTGTCAAACCCCAAATAGTATATTTTCCTCTTCCTTTCTGTTCTTTTCAGCTGGTTGAACGTTTTGAAGACTCCACAAGCCCTCACATTTGTGCCAGCAACTATCATGTCCATATCCAGTAAATCCAGGATTAGGACATTCTGCCTTGCAATTCAAACATACATGTCTGTGTGTTCATGTGGACCAGTATACACTCACAGCTCGTCGTGTTAAAACAATATGCAAGTTACCTAGCTCTAGCTTTACGACATTCCTCTTATAAGAGTTCCCTCCATGTTCAAACAGCGATACTTGTCTTGGCACGGGTTTTGCCATAAGCCCATGTGGAAAGTGGACGCTGAGGTCTATCAGTCAATCAGTTAATATGGTACATACCCTTAACAGTTGTCTGCTCAACAGTTCTCACGATTGAAGAAGTCTGACTCGATGTACCTTTCCATGGCACAAGCTGACATTATTAAGACTCCTCTATCTCCCGCCCGGGAGTACGAGGTTATGCTCTCCTTGATGCCACTAGGATTTTCGGAATCTCGAACATCTTCATCCTTCCAATAACCCCTAAACCCTGAAATGTCTCTCTTTCAATACGATTAGGAGTAACTCTGAGCTACTCCTCCAACACCGTTTCCGTTTTCAAAGGGGAATTCTCGTACTCCCTACTGCTGCAGCACGTCACAGTTATTCTGCTTGACCTCGTGAGAAATTACAGTTCGTGACCCAGGCCGGCTTAGATTATAGCCGCCCGTGCCAAAGGTAATTTGAAGTTGGCACTCACTCTGAGGGTGTTAATGATGAGGACAACGCTCTATTGTTCCGATGACCGAGTAAAATCCAATCAAGTGCTGCTGCAGCCCAACCCAGCCCAACATGTTTGTGATGTAATGCACTCCGTACCACGGTCGTCGCGTTTCTCTTCAATTTCCACGGCTATGGGATATCTGTCGGCCTCGTATCACTACTCAGACATCGGATCCTAAGTTGCATACATGCAGCTCAGAGTTAAGTAGCTCATCAATTGGCCCGCTGTGATTATTCTCGGTTCGTTTCAGCTCTTGCGTATAACAGAAAACTGTCTGCAGTGCTTCTCCCTTACATGAGATCGTACGATATCATCCGCGAATATCAACCCGTATTTCAGATGCTGGACGCATCGAAACGTAATGAGCTCGAAGATACTGTAAACTGCAGTGTAATGCACCGATCAGCCACAATAACCACGTCTCTTGAAGAAAACGTGACACTTTGTATTGAACACTTCATTGGACTGCCGTGCTCTGTGATCCTTTGGCGCCAACAATCACACTGTCGACAACCTCTGAGGAAATTCCCGGCTCGGAAGAACACTGTCATCTTATTAATCACCACTTGAGCTGCTCGAGCCTTGATTCTGGCGGTGACTATGACACATCGACATAGAGAGAATCGATCTGAACGTTTAAACCATGCTTCTGGAAACCGTCGAAAGCTGTGGTGAGTGTCTGAATGGGCTTCTCGTGGGGTCCCTGCATCAATGAGGCTTATGAATGGATCCAGAGCTGGTCTTCTGTGAGTGGAGGGACGCAACGTCAACCCGGTCAGTCTGTCCTGGGCTGTCGGTCCATGGTTCGATTGATCGATCACAGTCACGTAGGATGAAGCGACCAGCTTGAGATTTGGCTACGGTCCACTCTCTGCATCTCAAGGCAAGACATACAGAGACATCTTTGATGGGACCATTTTCATACAAAGCCTGGAAACTGTGTATGCGAGTCGAAACTCAGAGCTCAATCATAAGTCGGTCAGATCATTAAGAGAGGTCATAATGGAGTCGATCACAGATGCAAGCCATGCTGCGTCGTGTCGGGGTACCACTCCTTCTGCCATTAGTGCATGCTGTACGTCCTCTGGTGCTGGACAGTAGTCCCTTCCCACTTCTGCTGTCTGCTGTGACACAACTCGCGGCAGCTGCAGCAGCTTTGCCAAACTCCTTTGCCTCCTCCCCTTGTAAAGTCGTACACGATTTGGCGGGGGCAGGAAAACAAGTGGATTGAAGTAAAATATGCTCTTGTGAGCTGAACCAGAGTCATAACTATAAATTGCTGGGTGCTGCAGCGTGCAGAGGCTCTTTCCAGGCGACGACCCACTCGACGACCCATCACGAGGGCGCGTTCTGCTGGAGCAGTGCAGGCGCTTCCGACGGTTGCAGCAGGTCCACTTCTGTATACAATATAGTTTATGTGATTTCACTGCTTCGTTGATGAGGGGCCTTTCAGAGCACCTTACCTTCGAGCACGAACGACATGCGATCCTCGTTGGGTTTATAAACGCAGAGTCTGTGTCGCCTCCTAACCCGAGCTCCAGCCGTCGTCACTTCTGAAACTCCAGCAACAGCAGGCCGTCCGCAGGCTCAGCGGCTGCGGTGGGCTTGTATGTACATTTTTCCTCCTTCTAAGGTATAACAGAGTCGTCATTGCTACCTGTTGTAGTCAGAGAGTCTCGTAGACTGGAAACCTCGATCACCTCGTGTAGTTCAAGCGGAGGAATAGGTCCAGATTACAGTACAGGCGCAGGCCTGTCAACTGCATGAGAGCCTTCAGAATTGTGGAAGAACCAGGACATAACGCTCTAACAGCTTATCGATCAAGCTCCGATATTATAGTTCTCACTTAGTGAGGAAGCAGACAAAATATCGGAACAGATTCATGATACCCGGGGGACTTCATATGTGAGTGAGATAGAGCTATCAATCTGCTCGTTGATGGCGTCTTCGTTGGTGGACTCGCTATCTCCTGAAAAAACTCATTCCCAGCAGCATGCAGTGAATATTTGGATATCTTCACCATCCTTCTTGGCCGGGAGAGGACATCATCACATTGTGGTAGGGCGGTCTGAGAGAAAGTTAGTGTCAAGGCACATATAGTTACAGAAATGTCATTCTTATGGTTTGGAATATGTGCCGGTTGTGCAGAAGCAAGAAGCTCAAGGATCGTGTACTTGAAGGCCTCCCATTGCTGCTGCTGCTGCTAGTATCCTGGGGACTGGCTGCTGCAAGAGAATGGCGGCCTCTGGAATTCTACTCGTGGTGCTGGCCCTGTGCTGCTGCTTTTGCGAGCAAGCTAAGGCCCAAGCAGTGCCGGCCCAGTTTGTATTCGGAGACTCGTTGGTAGACCCTGGCAACAACAACTTCCTTCGGACTTCGCTGGCCAAAGCCAATTACCTTTACAATGGCATTGACTTCCAGGGAGGACCCAGCGGGCGCTTCTGCAATGGGCGAACTGTGGTCGACGTCATGAGTGCGGATCTCACCAGACCTTGCAGATATAGATTCACTCCTTCTCTTCCAAGCGCTAAAACTCCCTAGAAGCTTGAGAGGAGACGGTGCGGGCCTGACGGTGCATTTGCAAAGCTGATTTGTGAAGAAACAGATGCCTCTTTCTCTGTCACAGTTTTGCTGACTGAACTTCGTTGTCTTTTCGGTGGTTGGTTTGTGTTTGTGCTCAGGTGAGCTCACTGGCCTCCCTTACTCACCGCCTTACCTCGACCCAAACACGAAAGGTGCAGCTATCCTCAAGGGAGTGAGCTACGCCTCTGGGGCTGGTGGAATTCTGGATTCCACAGGTTTCAACTACGTGAGATACTCATGCTCCGAGATTTGGCGTCGATGATTTTGACGCTGGAGGAATGAATAATTTTTTTCTCTCTGCTGCTGCTCTGTTGGCATGAGGTTTGAAGCGCGTCTGATGTGGGTGTGGGTGGGTTTTGGCGGGTCTTGGCAGATTGAGCGCATTGGGATGAATCAACAGGTGACCTTTTTCAAAAACACGGTCTCTCAGCTCAATGCCCAGCTGGGTCCTGCTGGAGCTACGGACCTGCTCTCGAAATCCCTCTTTACCATCGTGCTGGGAAGCAACGACTTCATCAACAACTACTTGCTCAGCGCTTCGAGGATACGCTTCCAGTACACCCCCCGACAGTACAACGTTCTCCTCCTCGACACTCTGTCGGCTCAACTTACGGTACACGAATCATCTAACTCCAATAGCTACAGCTGACAACGAGGCCCGAATCACTGCCCGAATGAAGATAGAGAATCTGCGTTCCCACTCGCAGATTTACTGAGTCTTTTTTATTATATATGGGTCCTGATCGAAGACTGGTCTGATGTTGCAATGACAGGCTCTGTACACACTGGGAGCACGAAAGTTCTTGGTGTCTGCTGTGGGACCCATCGGCTGCATTCCCGACCAGTTGTCCAAGGCGGGTTTGCCGACATGCGTTTCCTCGACGAACGACCAGATTCGAGACTACAACGTCGGCCTGCAATCCATGCTCAAGCAGCTGAACAACAACTTGCAGGGCGCCCAGTATCTCTATGGCAACGTTTATGACATGGTTGCCAGTATGGTCGCCAATCCTGGCTCTCATGGTAAACAAAGCAGATGCTCTCATCTCACCTCTCTTCCTCTCATCCCTCTCACTTTCGGATCGCTTCGTTGGGTAATACCTCGCATTGCAACTCACTGACTCGTGTGCTTTGTGAGCGCAGGTCTGACGGTCGTGAACCAAGGATGCTGCGGGGGAGGATTGTACCGGGGCCAGATTCCTTGCCTTCCACAGGTTCCTCTTTGTACTAATCGGGACCAGTACGTTTTTTGGGACCCTTACCATCCCACGGAAGCGGCGAATATCGTAATCGCTCGTGCTCTAATGAACGGAGGGCCTAACGATGTGTCACCTATAAATGTTGGACAAATGATTGGCATGCACTGAAGAGAAACCGAGAACGGAGCTGCTAGCTAATTCGAGGGACTTGTAAGAGTAGACTTTTAAGGATTCTTTATTAGGTAGTGGTAATTGGAAGACGCTCTTCCTTCAAATATTATCGTACAATGTGATGGGTAAAGTTCCCACCCAGTAGTAGCTCACTGAGATCTGGTGCTGTCATCGAGGTGCATATAATTTCTAGTAGTGCCCTCCCTCCCTCCCTCTCTCCATTGCACCTGTGTCTTGAACCAGAACAAAGTAGAAGAGTTTACATGCTCGAGGTCCTGACGCCTTTGTAGCTTAATAAAGGCTTAATTTAATGACACAATCTTTCTGATGACAGCGCCCTGCATTTGGTGCTGAGTCGACACTTTTACTCCATGGTATGCGTGTTGGCCAGGATACATGTATGGAATTTCGACTGCATCTCTTTCGTAAGCTGAAGATCGACCCTGAACATTGTGATGTGCATAATATCTCTCGCAGTTGTCGTGAGTGAGGAAAGTAACGCCGGAACGTCGGCCGAAGCTCATCTCGTTTGATGCAAATTTTTCAAGTACACGGTGAAAGCAGCCTCTATCGTACCATCACCCACACCCACACGATCATGGAATGGCAAAAAAGTGAACACTGAAGGGAGAAAATTGGTCGACGCCGTAGCCCGAGTGGGTATTTTTATGAAATCGAAAATTGATTCCAAATCTACTACATTACCGCACCGAATATTACACTCATTCAGACCCGCCAATGAGAATATGAAACTAACGCAAAATTTTGGATACTGTAGAAAGAAAGATCGTAGACAGTGAAACAGTAAATCTATGGGGAAACAAGAAGTAAGCAGTACCCCACCTACATATCGGTAGATGATGAGTAGAGGAGGACATTGAGCGGGAATATCTCACACTTCGAAGTTATCACCACATAACTGAAGGCGAGGACTGAAAGCTGCACACTTCGTACGGCAAGACATAACTCCGCTCGCACGAGCCAATTACTACGTCGACAATAGTAGACAGTACATTACTATCGACTTCTAAGCTACTCTGTAGATGAGTTTCTTCTCTGTTGTTTCACTGCATCACTCTCTAATTATATAACTACCGATGTGACCTGCTGCAGAAGGCACATTTTCACCGTGTGCGACGTGCAGACTGGGCAGGTTCTCCATGCCGCAGAACCTGGTCTGTCCCGGCCATCTGCGGTCCCTGCCGAAAGCTTGGACTCCTTCATAATGACGGCCAGCGATCCGATCAAACGGACAGGAAGATTCTCAGATTACCAATTCTTAGGTCATCTTCATCATCACCATTACCACGTCTTTTGTACTGTCAAAATATGTCTATTGCATACAACTTCATCAACTGCGACACCAACAACGCATCTCTAAAATGCAGGCCATGCAGCGATGGGTTGCTCATATCCATTTACTTCACGGGGTTAAATCTCCCATCAGCTGTGGTATCAAATAGGCTTGGCTTATGAAGGTTCTCGGTTTGTGGAGATCTCGAGCGTGTCTAGGAGTCATGAGTGAACGTGCCCCATGGAGAAGCCGGTGAGTCCCGAGTTCAGGCGGGGATGAGCTCGTACGCATGCAAGAGCTGCAGAAGTGAGTGGGTGGTACGGCACCAACTGAAAGATAGCGATCCTTTGCACATGCCAGTGCACGAAGAATAAATGCGACCGGCTGGTTGGCTGAAAGCAACGCGGCGGCATCACACGGTGAAGATTCGCGGTTCCATCAGACAGACTCCTCGGTTTGGATCGGGACTCGCACCTCGTCTACTCACATACAAAACATTTTCAGCTGACGACCCTCTTGGTACACCTCTGAGATTGAGTCCCCCCTTGGCATACAACTACAGTACTACTACTACTACTACTACAGGAATGATAGATACATGGAAAGGATGACGGCTGATCTTCGTGGCTGCAGGTTCGCTTCGATATTCAGTTCACTGCTCGATCGTCGTTACGCAGGCTGTGCATAAGCAAGTGACATTTGGAAGAGCTTGCTTGTTTCGAGTCCAGTCCCCTACCAAGAATCTAGAGAACCGACGACAAGCACTAGCTGTAGTTGCTAGTGATTATATATGGATTGGACGGCTTGACACTACACATGACTGACGAGTAGGTCCACCCCTGAAAGGAGAGACTCGTTCGAGGATGAAGCTCGCTTGGACTTTTGGCTAACCATTTGTCCCGACATTTATTCTACTTTCCTACCTGGTACAATTGTGTAAGTTTATAATTCTCTAGGCGAGATATTCCAGTGCTTTAAATAGATTCCTCTAGAGAGTTGGGATTTTTCTAGATATCAAAGGCGTCTAGGACATATTTCTCATTGTGATGCCATATCCTATCGCTTGGGAATCTTCTCCTCTTGATGGATGTATGGCTGTGAATTCCCATCTTTTCTTTAGAATGCTCTCGCACGGCTTCAATTTATCCCCCCATCTTTGCGTATTTTTCACTTTTGCATGGACTTGTCGCATCTGCATACTGAACTCTGCTTTTCTTTCACGAAGGTTTACTTTTGTTCGTTGACATTGGAGAATGTCGGACACAGACGATGGCGTGCAGACACCGAGAAGAGGATGATGGCATGATTCGTGATAAAGTGGTAACGTCGACCGAAGAGCGTCTCGTGGATCTATTGTGTGCTTGCATGCTGAACCATGAGATAGCGCTGTTGCATGCATGGAGGTGGGCGAATAGGTGAATGAAATGAGGAGCACATTTTGATCTGAAAATTGTTTTGTTTGCCGTGTGCAGACATCTCTTTGCAGGCTTCGAGAATTACATTTGATGTACAACCCTTTATTTATAGTATGCAGCTTGCAATATGGAACTTGTTTAATTGCTATTTCGTTTATTGAATATCAATAGATTCTTGGCTCATTCTTTGTCTCATTCTTTATAACATTTGTAAAAGAGTTTTCAAAATATTCAGAATTTTATCTTTTTTAATATAAACTCTTTGAAAATTTTTATTCTTACAAACATTTATGTCTTATGCATGTAGAATTTTATAATAAAATTTGAACCTATACAACTCTAATTTCATATAAGGCAATGGCGCTATCACTGTCATGTATTCGCAATATATTTATTACTAAGTTCAAAAGAAATGCATTGAGGATTAAATTTGCTTGAACATACTTTTCAAATAAGTATGATTCATCATGAACTTATTCATGCTTGGATTTTGATCTAATTGATTATTTTCAAAAATTCTTCAAAATTTTGACACACTATTGAGTATTCGTTCAAATTTTTATTTATTTTAGCCCATTCCTTACAGGAAGTTAGATCATTTAACCTACCATTACAAAAGGAAGTTAATCCTAGCTCTCAATCATACAATTTAGAGTTCTAAATTATGATTCTTTGATATGCATCAAGTAACCTAAGTAAGACAAACCACATTTTTCTTATGTTGATTACTTAAAAAGTCATGTCATTTTGAATCTTGATCTCAATCCACAATGTAATATAACACTGGTTTTTATAGAATACAAATCATTTTGAATGTTCATCTTATCAAGAATTGAATGCTGATCTTGATGTACTTATTGTACTAGAGTATATCTACTTAATTTGACTATGTGCAATATGTCAATTTTTTATGATTATTTTCGAATTGCAACTATGAACTACAATTAGATTTTCAAATTTTGCAACGAGACGTTTCAATATCATAGTGAGCAAAAATTTGATAACATTTGGAACCCGTAGTTATTTTTTTGTATGTGTTGAATATATAATATATATTTGTTGATTATTTTTTTGAGATAGCTATCGATTGATGCCAAACGTACTAGCAAACTAGCACATGTTGCGATAAAGATCACAAACATAGAGTAAGACAAACAGATGGGACAGATTTAAAACTAAACGAGAAAACTCTCAACAAAAAGTTCAGCATTCAAGGCAACAAGCCAACTCTCGCTGCCTTAATTAGACTTCACCTCACACTTGCAAACCTTAACAACCGTCCATCGTCACACAATGACAACCGAAAATATCATCAACAAGGATTTATTCTAACATAGTCCTACTTAACATTTCCGGGAACAAAATCTAATTAACCTATATATTAATCTGCAAAAAATTCTAATAGGAAACCTAACAAAGTTTTCATTTTAAATTTAAGTTAACTAGAACTAATGCACAGTGAAAACTAAATAAAGAAAAAATATATAGAGTTGACTGAAATTGTTAGTAAATTCTACTTGTGTTCATCTTGCAAAACCTGTGAAGTAACATAATGTATTCTAAAACTCTCAAAAGAAAAACTGTGATAAACTCATGAACTGGATTGAATTTACCATCAATCTTGAGTAATTATCAGTATTTTTATCATAAATTGCATGTTCAATAAAGCGATATTTAATATCAATTTATTTCACTCTGCCCATCACTTACTTGCATACACCCACTCATAGATCAATCTGCAGCAAGATGTAATGTATATTGGCTATCACTAGTGAAGATTGACAACCTCTTGATTTAATATCATCTCAGTGATAAGTCTATTCAATCAAATAACTTCCTTTGTTGATTCTACTACAGTAACATACTCAACTTCCATGGTAGACTGCGCTACATAGTTTTGCAGAGTAATCTCTAACTAATGTATTCATCATCAAGTGTAAACACATACCCAACTATAGATTTTTCTTTCTTCACATCTTGTTCAGAGTCAACATTAACGTTCAATGTCAAATCCTCGCAAGGATTTGGCATTGTTAAATCAATTATCAAATAATGAACCATAATCTTTAGTGTTTTTCATGTACTTGAGAATACATCTCACCACTTTCTAATGCAACTTCTTTGAATTTTACATGTATTTGCTCACCTTGCTCATAGCTAAATCAATACTAGGCTTTGTGCACATCATCAAATACATGAAACATTTCATATCTTTATCATAGAAAATTGATGACATTCTTTTCTTTACAATGATATCAATTTAACATTGAGGTGCAAAAAGTTTAAAATGTGATGCGACTGAAGTACAAACTCTTGTCTTGAACGTACTTGTCTTGATTCAATCATAGCCTGATCTTCATCAAACGTAATAAATATTCAATCCTCATGTCTTGAACTTATTAAAATCATTCATCTTAAATGTAAATTTCATCCGAGTTTTCATTTGTCAACATTGAATTGATACTTTTCCAAGATGAACATGTCATTTTTGTAGATTATTAGATTAATAAGATTGAAAATTTCATTACACATCTTTTTCATATGTACACAAAGATCATAGATTCTCCGTGAAAAATCTTGTGTTTTCATGAACTCATCAAATTTGGCATTCCGTCGTCTTTGAGCTTGCTTCAATTCACATAATTATAATAGCAACCTACAA